AAACAACATCACTCAATCATTCTTACACATTACATCGTTAATTCACTATTCATCCACTCACATAGTTTTAACCATCACTTCACATCATCTCTCTCCTACTTTGACATCAAACCTATTTTAAATATTTTATTCCAAATATTATTTTAATATAAACTCAAAATCTCACTAATAACTAATCATACAATTTTATTTTTTTTCCAAAATTAACCATACCAAAACAAAAAATTCAAACAAAATCAAAATATTTTATATCCAAGCATCCCCTTAGTCTCGGTATTTACAAGAGCCATAATAATATGTACCTCGAGTCTCATGCAAAGGAGGACTTGGAAAACAATAATCGGGATCTTCATGAGGTGGCCACCAATATCCTGCAGACCACACATTCTATCCTGGGAATGATCCTCAGATACCACTAAGCCATTAGTCCAGTCAAGATACCTAATAGTATTAGAAGATGAACTTTCTTCTCTTGTTTGAGAATTTCTGTGAATTACTGGGTTTGACCATTTTGTACAAACAAGAAACGCAAAGCACTCGGCAATCCTACAGGAACAGAAAAAGGAGCCAACCCTCACTATTGTGAAACTCTGATAAGATAGTATGAAGGAAAGAGATGCATTTAAGCGGAAATATTTACCCATAATTTATGAACAAGTCCCACCAGCCAAGAGCATCAATATCACCTGCAATATCGGAAAATAGGGAAAGTGGTAAATCGCAATCAGAAAATTAAATGTGAGGTTGTTTCCAATTCCCCACAAACAAGATTTCGAAGAAGTTCGGACTAACTTGCCAATCATGATCTCTGCAGTACCATTAATACCAAACACCATAAAGCTAAGTTGCAATTTAGCATTCTCACCACTTCAAAGCCAAAAAACTTCCAAGTACCAGAATTAGTCATAGTACGTTCATATTGGTACTTATCAATCCATTGGCAAGTGGAGCCACACCGTAAAAGATCGGATTGTTTTGCCTCAAAGCAAATGAAAAAACAAAATTTGTGGACAGATTAAGTTGTACCACAAATGTACACTGTATTTAAAGGCACTTATCGCAAGTGGATGAGAACTACTAAATGCAAACTTAAAGGAACAAGGTACAAGGTAGCAGATGAACTCAGGGATTAAAGGAAAAAGGAGGGCTACATGAAAGCATACAAATGCTTTTCATCAAAGTTCAAGGTTCTTCTTGTTTATTTGGTATAGGTTGTCCACTTTTCAAATGGGAGAGAAAAGTGAAACACAAAGGCAAGCAAATGCAAATATTTGTCACAGCTTATAAAATAAAACACTCACCACAAAGTTTCAGGAGGGTGAACAAAGTTGCAGCGACAAAGAAAACCATTGATATTGCCACCCAGAAGTGCTGTGAACACAAGAAGGAAGTATTATAGATATACTTGTCTCTACAAACTAGGCATAAAAACGTGAAAGAGAAACAGACTTGAGAAAGAATGAAACAGTACATAGATGAACAATACCGATGAATGAATCTGTGTTATCAAGTTGCCAAAAAAAAAAAAAAAAAAAAATTACAAAGGAGCCTCAAGAGTCAAGGCCAACATAAGCACCGTGAATTTGACTCATATAGTGTTTAGGCTGAGCCTACTACTTTTTAGTATCTTATAATATGTTTCAAAGCAAGTAACAAGTTTCCCTAGTGATAACCCTACCTAAAACATAACCACCTAAAGGTTGCCCAAACGAATTACAAGGATAAAATTCTGAGATCGAAATTTTTCACTGATTCTGTCAAGTCGGGAAACTTACAGGAAGTGTCTCCCATATCGCCTCGTCATTCATGCTTTCATCATCTCCAGGTAATAAAGCTTTGCACATTCTACAGTCATTATGGAAAAAAATCAAATATGTGCTAGGTTAGACGTTTCTTCTATCATGCACTTCAAGGATTGAAAATGATAAGCAACAGAAAACCAGGTTAACAAATAATTCTCAAAAGAAATTAATTCTGAACTGGTAGCACGAATCACTGATTACTGGCTCAACAAGAGCTGAAACCCAACCAAACAATTACGAACATATATGTAGTAATATACATCCTTTCTTATTGATTTAATGTCCAAAGTTTCAAATAATTCAGCTTTGCAATAGTAATTTCTGAGCAAGTGGCTAGTGGTGTTAAGCATCTGAAGGATAACTTTTCGTCAGATAAGCCAGATGAAACATAAGGGCTTTAGTAAGTGTTATACCTAAAATTGTCAATAAGGATAATAACTTCGAAGGCCAGCAACGGAAGGAAAGTGATTTTCAGGTTCACGGAAGCAGAACCACTAACTGCAATCAAGAAAAGGAGGAAAATTGTGAAGGCAATAACATTTAAACTAGACGGTGAGCTTTATCATCAATGCCTAGTGAGAATAGGAAAGTCGCCAGAAGCATGGAGCAAAACATAATGCAACAACATAAATCTTTCTTGCATAAAAATAATAACCATAGGGGATTTGCTTCCTTACCATATATACTCTCAAGATATATACAGAGAAGCAGTTCAAATGCAACAAGCAATGGCATCGCGACCACAGCATGACATGGGGCCCACTAAATAAAAAAAAAAAGGAAAAAATAGAAGGTAAAAAATGCGGCAATATATACAAAACTGCATGGTTTGTTTTCTGTATATCACTGCACATTCAAATATATGAGAAATTTAAAAGGGTACTGCTATTTAAAAATTATGAAGTATATTGGCATACATGGCGATCATGAGGAACTGATGGGGCGGGTAGGGAGAATCTTCCTCGAGCAACAACTACATGAAATAGCCACAATGGAAAGAAAATGACCCTACACAACAAACAAGCAGATACGTGAGGCCATGAAGTAAACAACCAATGTTCCAACATTAGCTTAAGCCTTAAAGCTTATCCATAATCATGCTTTTTCCAAGCTAATTTTGCAAAAAATCCCATACAACTTGAAAAGGCCATTCTTGCATGATGAGCACAGTCAAGAACGCAACTTGTACTCTTTGCACATCCCTCAGAGCTAACCACCCATAGAAATTGTCATAAATGGGATAATTTCCTCGGGCTAACCACACTTATGTCTTCCAATAAAATACACACATTAGAACAAATTAGTTCCAG